TACGAGCATGGCGTAGACAACCTATCAACTATCAGCTATCATCTCTATCATCGTCATCATCATCATCCCACAATCACTGTACATGACCAGCCAGATTTGTAAATATAACAATAAAGCACAACAACCATTGTCTTTGGTAATCAGTGTTATATTGAGAGTATTATCAAAATTGTTATCGCCAGAGGAGGACTAGATCAAAGAGCGTAAATGCGATGGCGACCACTACGATGGAGGCGTAGTTGATGTAGAGGACGACGGCGGGCAGACTGCTGATCAGACGACCGACGATGATCGGGTCCACGGTGGAGACCAGGGCACAGGAGAGCGTCAGCAGTGCACAGACCTTGTCGGTGAGGCGAATGTGCTCCTCAAAGTAGCTGAACATGGTGGGCATGAAGGTGGCAGTGCCCACGCCCAGCACCACCAAACCGCCGTACAGCCCCGCCCTACTGCTGTTCATGTTGAAGTACAGCAGACTGAGACCGGCGAAGATGAGCGCAGTGTCCACCAGGAGGAGGAACCTCGGCGGCACCCTCAGTATCAGCAGAATGCCCACGCCTCGGGCGATGGTATAGGCGGCGGAAAGGGCGGAGACCATCTGCGCCGCCTCTGATTCGCTGATGGAGAGGGCGGNACCCTCAGTATCAGCAGAATGCCCACGCCTCGGGCGATGGTATAGGCGGCGGAAAGGGCGGAGACCATCTGCGCCGCCTCTGATTCGCTGATGGAGAGGGCGGTGTTCACCAGGAAGGAGGTCATGTACTCGAAGCTGATGTTCTCCATGCCATCGTAGAAGCAAGCCATTGCCCCGCTGATGAACACCAGAAGGGCGATTTTCATCTTCGATTTCCTGTCCAGCAGTGTTTGCTCACTTTGTTTGTTCTGGTCAAGTTGACTAACTTTTGCAGTCTCAGCTGTGCCATAGTTTGAGTGACCACTGCTGCTGCCGCCGCAGCAATGAGCTATTTCTGGAGGCAAGCATTTCACCTTTTCATCTGCTTCCACTTCTGCTTGACTAGGAGGCAGTGGATTTTTTAGCCGGAGAATGGTCGCCTCCTCATCTGCCTCATAGCGAAGAAAAAGGTGACAGAGAAGGTGAATGGCTGCGGTGGAGAAGAGCAGCGAGCTGACGATGATGAAGGGCACCTCGATCTGTGACTGCACAAAGTCGCCCACCACGAACTGCCGCTTCAGCCAGGGAAAGAAGTAGCCAGAATGATGGGGCACGTGCTGGCCCATTTGAATGACGTTCACGTGAAGACTACTTTCAATTGGATCCAATTGACCAGCACTGCTGCTGTGATCGCTGCTATTGACACGAGTCAGCGAGGACACTCGTTGGTAGTTCTCGTCGACGAAGTTGTTATCGCTGAGAAAGTTCAGACAAATCAGCGGCGAGAAGAGCGTCCCCAGGCCGTAGAAGAAGTACATTGCCTGAACTAGAGGTCCATTCTCGTCTAGGTACATTTCTAGATTGTTTGGTTTTGGGTTTTTAAACATTCTTTTTTGCCCTATACAAAGCGGCATTGCTTACCGAACATCCATGCATTGATTCCAGTGTCAAATCCTGCAGCGGCAGCAAGCAAACAATAAAAAGCGTGTCGTTAAAAGAGTAAATTAGCATTTTGAAAAATTAAAAGTTTGCGTCAGCAGGATGGTTGTAAAATTAAATCAAAGCGCCTAATCGATGAAATGCAAAATGAAGAAAACATCATCCGTCAAGGTCGTTAGTAAAAAGAGAAAAGCGAAAAGAAGAAGTTGGCTCCGAGTCATCAAGAGTAGCTCACGCGATAATCACAGCCATTTTGTTCTTATCGTGCTTTGTCATCGCATGTCGCATGTTTACTTTTGTTTGCACAAAACTGTCGAAATACTGCTGATGCTGTTTCTGCTTTTGCTGCTGCTCAAGTGTGCTGGAAAGTGTTGTGAATGAAAAAGAATGAAAAGATGGCTTACCTCCTTCGCCGACACCGAATGCCACCGATGCCCCCAGGAAGACGTAGTAATTGCCGAGAAGAGGAGTCACAAGAATGGCCGCCGCAATCAGCACAGTGTACAGGGCGATGAAGAGCTGCCGGCCGAAGTGCTCAAAGAGAAACGGACCTGCCAAGAACAACGCAAAACAAACAGGTGAGACATTCCTTTTGTCATTTTTTTGTGAGTGTTTTTGTGTATTGTCTAAACAGTAACTGTACTTGTAAAGGAGCCTAGAATGTACCCGATTGCCATCAACGAGTTTCCGTATGCCATCTGATCTTGTGAGCTCTGCAACAGCGCAATCAGATCCATCCACGCCGGACCCCATAAGTTGTACGCCACGCCCTGAAAATATGAATTTTATATGCGCATTTTAGTACTGTGGCCACTTTGAGTGTGCTACTGAAGAATGCAGTCTGATGATTCAATCCTATAAGAGGCAACCAGAAAGACAGATAGATAGAGAGAGGGTTTATCTGCATTGATGTGCTTAAATACATAGATAGTGTATGAGAAGAAGATGAGTATAGTGTAGAAGCACAGCTTTGCCCTGGGCACTTTGCTACGCTCCTTGGCGTTGGATGATTCGGGCTGCTGAGGCGCCTGTGCTCCTGGCTCAATGACTTCTTCTTCTTCTTCTTCATCTTTAGTAGCGCAGTCCAGTGCAGAAGCACCAAGCCACTCTGATTGGTGATGCTGATGCTGCTGTTGCTGATCGTGAGGCTGATGGCTAAATTGTTGATGTTGTTGATGCTGCTGTTGATGCCTGTGGTGATGGTGGCGGTGGTGTTGGTGGTGATAGTGGTGTTCCCCGATGTTTTCACTTTGCTCAGCACCATCGTCCGAGTACACCTCCATCGATCAGTTTCAGTTCAATTGTCACAAGATTGAAGAAGTGAGCAGTGCGAGTGCAAGTGTGCGATTGGGTCGAGGGAACGTGTGACCGTCGCCGCCAGCCAGACGATTGGAAATATATATATATTTCTTCTTTTTCTCTTCCGACCACAACTGCTGCAGTTGTTGTTGGTTCTCTCTTCTCTCTGACAGGCACCCCTTCCTCTCTTGGCCTTCTCCTCGTTATCCAATCCAGGCCTGTTGGTCGAATCACATGACTGGATGAGGCGTTTAATTGGCAGCAGCTAGCCAAGCACTGCTGTCACTTTGTGATTGTCAATAAATATATTATGTTTTATGTTCATTCGCTCATTTATCATACAATAATAATGGCGCCTCAATATTTGTGTATTTTCTGTGTTTAGTCTCCCCGTGTTCCCCACCCCACCTTTTACTGTTAAAACAATTGTTGCCATAGCAATTGCCTACTAATGTGTCGCCGGCTACCACATTCTTGTACAATGCTTTCTCCTTTCTAGTCAATTACTAATGGGCAATTACCTGAGGTGCCATTACTTCTTAGACTGGAGAATGACAAAATAAAAAAAAGAGTCACTCAGCTACCGTATAACTTATCACAACAGCTCACTGAATTTTAGTACTGTTTTGCCGGCAAATACATTTACGAGCTCATCGAAGAGTGAGTGAGTCAGTCAGTTAGTGAGCCAGTGAGACAAACAAACAAATCGTGAAGGCATCTACTGTTTGATCGACATTTCGATGCGCCATGCACTGTGTCTTCTCACTTCTGCACTGACTAGCCATAAATATCCTCCCAGCTGTTTTGTGGTGACTGTCAGTAGCGGTTTATGTCCACTCTTTGGGAGCACTTTATCATCATTAGCCAGTCACCTGCCAGTTCACTTTCACATTTGCATAGACTGCTGTTGTCTTTTTGTCATCATCGGCAAATAAGGTCAGCAGGTGATGGTGGTGTTTACCGGTAATCTTCACTAAATATAGCCTCCTCATTATTATTACCATATGAAGTGGCAATTAATCAATTAATTGACCACAACTGACCAAAAGGACGAAAGTGCATTGCACTTTTACAAAAAAATGGTTTTTATTTACTGAGGAATGAAGTGATGAAGTGAGCAAAAGGAGTTTAATAAATAAATTTTCAGTGTATCGATGAGAAATGAACGGAGTGTTGGTGACGAGGGTAGTTGAGTTGGCTTTCCAGGATGCGTAGTTGAGAATTTACTTTTTCTTTTTCTTGTAGCTATCGTATCCGCCTTCATCATAACCTATTTATCAAAGTTAGAATGCACAAATCAGTAAAGTTGACGTGAGCCAATTTTTGCCTGAGCCGCTTACCTCCTTGATCATATCCATCATAGCTGATGCCCCCACCACCATCACCGCCGTAGTAGGCGCCACCGCCGTAATCGCCACCGCCATGACCGTACTCATCTCCCCCGCCGTAGCTCATTGCCTCGTGACCATATGAGCCGCCATAGTGGTCCCCACCCCCTCCGTAGTGACCTCCGTAGTCGCCATATGGTCCATGGGAGTATCCGCCGGCACTTCCGCCACCGCCTCCGACATTGCCAAAGTAGTCGCTCATGCCATATGCAGACAGTGGGCTGTAGCCGCTACTGTGCCCATAGTCGTGCCCGTAGTCGTTGTACTTTTCAATGTACACCGGCACCTGAAACAGTTACAAAGTAATGAGACATTAGGAGCGGTCATTTGCTTAGTCGGCAATGAGGCTTGACTAGATTTGGAAGTTTTTTTTGCAGAGAGATGCAGATGTTATCCTCATTTGATCACTTTGCATAAACTTTATTTTATTTAAAATGTACTTGCCTTGATCGGATAAGGTACTTTTACAATTTTCGGTACTTTGACCACATAAGGAACTTTTATCGGGACCTAAATTAATTTTTTTTTATTTTTCAAAAGTTCAAACTAATCTTTCTAGTAAATACCTTTACTGGAACTTGTCAATTATTTTTTTTTAAATTGTGTAATTAGTTTTGAACAGATTATTTTAGAAAACAAACATTTACTCACCCTTTACTGGCACCTAAAAAGAAATTTTTCATTAGTTATTGAGCTGATGCAGTTGGTTGATATTTACTTTAACCGGAATTTTGACTGTCTTTATGATGGGCTTCACATGGTATGGGATGGGCACTGGCACTTTATTTGATGAGTAGTGTTGAAGTTGTTACTGATGATAGTTAGCATAACACAACTGAGTTTACCTGGAACTTTGTTGTAAATGTGCACGGGGTAGGGCACAGGTTTGACAATGTGAATAGCTTTTTTGGGGTGGTCGTCATCTTTGTCAAAAAAGATGGCATTTACACAGACGTTGAGGACGACTAGGGCCACAAGGCCGTACCACAACGACACACTGGCCAGACAAGGGCCTCTCATTGTTAAAAGTTGTTGCACTAGCACAGTTGAAAGAAGCTCTTTTACACGGGCTCACAAAATTAGAGGATAACGATGAAAAGAATAGAATGATCGAGTACGGTTTCGCTAAAATTTTTCGACGACTAACTTTTCTCTCAGTATCTCGATTGGCTTTTTATGGCGCCCGATTTGCAAGTGAGTGCACTCACACCGCTCTTGTGCAAATATCTCCATTTGAGAGTGAGAGTGTGTTGTCTGCTTAGTGGACAGTGGTAGCCATTCTCTCTTTCGCTCTCTCTCTCACTTCAAGTGTCAGTCTAGGGATGCCTTTTCACCTTCATTTACTTTTTGCTGTGTTACCGCAGCAGTCTAATACTTTCTCCACTCTGACGCAAACACTGAAGAATGCTTTCGACTTGTCTTCCCCCTGAAGACAACAGAGGCACGAATAGAACATTAAATGACTGAAGAGTTTCTACAGCAGAGAAGTGAAAGGTTTGAGAGTGCAAGAGAAAGAAAAGAGAGTGCTCTCAAGTGGACAACAGACAGTGTGAGTGATCAGGTGAACTTCTCAATGGCTTCTTTTTTATGCTTTATATGTGTTATGAGCCTTTTTCACATTTAGATTTTGCTAGAGGAATAAGCAAAAATGTGCAGCCACAGTGATCGCCCATCTGCTTTGTTTGCTATTGTAAGTAAATGAGGATTAGGTGCACTTGAACAAATTTAAATGTCAATGATTCTTCCTTGCTTGCTATAATCTCAGTTGCTAATCTCATTTTAATTTTACATTGTTTGAATGAAACAAACTTGAAACTGAATTTAAGTTAATTGCGTTTGTTTACTCTTTTGTTTTTTAACCGGTTCATGCTGGTGACGGGAAATACACACACTGTTCAGTGAAATGCTAATTGTCAACTGCAATTTAAAAGCATTGCAAGTATGTTGCCAGAAGAGAAAACC